TGTTTCGCAGTTGGAATTCGAAACATTCTGTCTTCCGTAGCCTTTTTCTCTATTTGTTCTCTTCCTATATCATGGACTTGTGTCTCATTTCGTTTCGACACATATACGCAATCGTTATTGTCTTATGGGCATCGATTATCTATGCGGAGCCTGATTAATAAGTTAGTTTGGAATAAAATATGTAACACCTGTATTGAATCGAAATAAATTTATAATGTGAATGAATTAATATGTACGAGTTTGTCAATAAGAATGGTATTTCAATCAAACATTCTATCGTAGCAGTGTTTCCGAATGAATCTTGGACATAATTTATTTGAAATAATGAATTATTTTTTGTTTGTTTTGCAAATAATAAAAAAAATAAAATTATTTTGTATAAAATACAAATAAATTATTTTTGAATATGAATAAATTTATAATAGATTATAAAATAATGAAAATATAATAAAAATGAAGAATTAAAAAATCAAAAAATTTAAATACATAAAAAATAAATAAAAAATTAAAATTGTATTATTTACTCACTTTATATTGAATAAAAAATTTTATATCTCAAAAATTAATTTTACAGAAATTATGTTTTACATTGTGAATCTGAAAGATTGAATGCAAATTTTTTTTAAATATTAGAAAGTAATTGTATATTTTTTATTTTCCTTTTTTTTTCTTTTTATCGTAATATTAATATTAAAATTATTGAATTCATATTTTAAAATAATTTAGATTTTTTTAAATTCTTAGAAATCTTGAAATAAAATATATATTTATACATTTTTTGGAATCTAATTTGATATTTTCATATTTTCATACTTTCATTATAATCCTGACATATCTGTTAAGAAACACTGTAAGAGTATCGAAGGAATAATTGAACTGATAATAGGAATTGGATTAGTGATGAGTCATTACTTTTGAAGCACATCGATTCTTAGACAAAGAATCATAATATTATATATCAAAAGAAATTGAATCGTAAATAATAATTGTTATCAAAAAAAATTGAATTGTAAATGATAATTGTTTCGAGTACATCTCGAAAAAAATTAATATCGATATATTTGCAATTTACATATATTTTGAATATATGAGCATGTTTTTATTCTATTTTTATTTCTCATATTTGATATTAATATATGTGATCTTGAGATCTAATTTTTTTAGATTCTTTTGTATTTACTAAATTTCCTAATTTATTTATTATATTTATTATTTATTATATTTATATTGACTAAATATTTGAAATCTCGATATTAATTCGAATAATTTTGATATTTTTAACTTTGTTGTGATACCGATGTAATTTGATATTATATGTATATTTTATTTTGATATCAAATAAATTTTAAATCAGGATGGAATTTTTTAAATATCATGAAAAAATCTATCTTGTCCATCACTAGATTGAATCATTGAGATCGGATTTGCTAAATTTTACAAACAGATTAATATATCGATTATAAATATAAGGGATTAAGTTTAATATATATATATTTTCAAATCCAATTCAATATCTATATTTTGTTTTACAGATTTCAAATACTATTTAAAAACAATAATATTTCAATGATTATATTTAAAATTGATTCATTTTATACAAACTGATATCATATCTTGGAATAAATATTTACAAATTTTCAAATATTTATATTTATATGATATTAAAAAAAAATTTTTAATAAATAGCATCTATTCAAATTTTCGAAATTAGAATAATATAAGATTTTAAATAATATATTTAATGTATAACTATTTTGTTCATTAAATTTATTTAAAAATATTTTATTCAAAAACAATGATTGGTTTTAATCAATAATTTTTTTCTCAGTGATATGTTCTACTTTTTATATTTTTTACTTTACAATTAATATTCTTTCTTAGTAGAAAAGAAATTATTATTAAATGATAGAATTATAAAATTGAATTTTATATATAAAAGATATTTATATAAAAAATAATATAATTGATTTTAAAGATAGAAAGAAAGATCAGAAAAATCAGGAAATTTATGGTGAAATATTTATATAATTTTTTAATTCATTTGATAAAGTATAAGTTCAAATATTTTATATTTGAAATTTTATATTGTTTCTATTTTCCATAATATTTATAGAAGATTCGAATTGAATTAGGCAAACTTGAAATGTTTGTGAAATATTTGATCCTATTGTTGTATAATAAATATTTGAAAGATAATCTTCAATTCGATAGAAATAATAATATTATAGAAAATATTTTAATGTGATAATTGATTTATATGCAGACGCGTACAATGTCTCCTCATTCTTGTTATTAATTATTATCAGTTATAAATTGTTATTAATAAAATAAAGATTTTTCTATTAATTAATCATTAAGAAAATATGTAAAATAAAATATAAATCTAATTATGATATTCTCTTTCTAGTTTTACATTTTTAAATTTTCTTTTTCTTTACTGTTTTTTTATTTAATAAATTTTATTAGAATAACTTATTTATTTTAATATTTATTATTATTTATTAAAATAGTAATATTAGATAATAAAGTATTAACAAATAACAGATGACACAATTTTAATTAATTTATGCATTTATATTGTAAATTTTCTTTAATAAAAGAATTTCTTTAATAATAAAAATAATGCTGTTCTATTATTTAATACTAAAATTAAGAAAAATAAATATATTAATGAAAATTTTAATTATAAAATTATTGATACATAACAAAAGCAAATAAAGTAAATAATAATATTTCTTTAAAACAAATTCTATATTTTTTTTTTATAATAATACATAATTTTTTTATTTTAAAAATATATCAATTTCTTAATTTAAATGACACATATATAAAATATTAATATATTGAATATCATCATTTTAGACTATATTTAATAATGAAAAAATATTTAACATATAGATAAATTTACTTTTTATAGGCATTATTTAAAGTCAATAATTCAATTTTATATGTTATAAAGAGAAATTTACAATTTTTCAAACTCTATCTATATATTGACAATCCTTATTCTTTCCTCATAACAATTATTTTTATTTCAAATAAAATAAAAGATGTTAAAAGAAATTTTTTTAAAAGATTAAAAGAAAAGATAAATGTAATAAAAATACGAGATTATAATTTTACTTTATATGTAAAAATGAATTTTTAATAATTTTTTTATTTAATTTAATAAAATTTAATAAAATTTAATCTAATAATAGATTTAAATAAAATGAAAACTATCTTTTCGTTTTATATCATTTATTTAATATCTTCTTATTTAATGAACATTTTTCGTTTTTGTTTCTTTGTACTATTCCTTTTAATATAATTATTATAATTTAGAAATGTGTATTATATCGTTTTCCAATACATATATTTTCTTATTTGATTATAATAGAATTTTTTGCGCATGCATACTTAAATTATTCTTAAATTATATATATATGATTTATTTGAAGATTTTTTAAAAATCTAAAGAATATATTATTGTATAAATTATTGTATAATAATATTAGAATATTAATTTAGAATATTTAAAATATATTGTATTTTTAATTGTAATATAATGACAAGAAATAAAATGGCGATAAAGTATAAATATATAAAATTATAAAGTATAATATATAAATATATCATTTAAAAAATAAAAAAAATTCATTTAAATGCTAAGAACAAATTTAAAAAAAGATGATAATAAATAAATTTTGTATCAATAAAAATATAATATGATTATTCGAAGAAACGAGATTCATTTATTAATGAAAAATTTGTTTCTGAAATTTTTATAATTTTCAAATAATATAATTATAAAAATTAATAATTATAAAATATAATTATAAAAATTAGACAATAAAGACAATAATAATTATAATAAGCATATAATAATGTTAATCAGAAGCATTTGAATTAAATTTGATTTTCGCTATTAAATAAAATATTTATTTTTCCTTTAGTTTCATTTTAAGATAAATGTAATATGTTAGGTCAAACAATGGGTAATTTTATGGTATCAGATATATTTCTTAGAATTTTGTAGTTTTTAGAAATTTAACTTTAAGCACTTAAAAAGTTGGAAAGTTTTCTAATTTATAAACAAGCAAATATGTTACTATATGTTATTATATATTATTATATAATATGTTATATATGTTATTATATATATTATATAATATAAAAATTTGATAATAATTAAATATTTGTTTTATATTAAGAAATTAATTATTTATTTTCATCGAACTCAAATGATTAAATATTTATATATTTATGAAATTTAAATGTAGATAACTCAAATATTACATTTATGACATACAAAAAACAAAATATTCAAAGTATAGTATGCATTATAATATTTGTGAAATAAAAAA